ATTCTGTTTGTGGTCTGACTTAGCCACATCTTGCCCCCTCTTTTTTGCTGAAGAACTGTTTGGATGACTCAGAGATGTCTCTAGGGAGCTTTCTCTGTCCTCAGCTGAAGAGGTTGGAGGTGTTGAAGCCTTAACAAGGAGGCTTTTTTTCCTAACCAGCTGCTGAGAAAAATAAGTCAGGAGTCAAGAGTTCTGATCAGTCTGAATCAAAATCACTTCCCCTATCTGTTAACTGGGGTTCACTTCTGTGGCACTTGGATGCCTTCATCCTTCCAATTGTCCATGGAGTCTGCTCGTGTAGACAAGGGCGGTGATTTTCAAAGGCACAGATGGAATTTGGGAGCCCAATACTGTTGACCATTCCATTCAGTGACTTCCAGTGGGAATTGAGAGCCAAAGACCTGATGTCCAAAACCCAAGCAGACGAGAAGCCTTTAAAACCAGCCAATGCGGAACTCTCCTGATCGGATGCAGATTGCCTGGTGAGAACTGCAGGGTGGAGTCACTTGTCACATCTGTATTTTGTCAGACTTCACAGGGAGCTGGATGTTGTTTTGTTCTTGTTTTTTTTTTTTTTTTAACCAGTCCCAGTTTACTAGACTGAAATGTTTTAGCTCCCTCCAGAGACTCATTTCCCTCCCCAGCAGAAGCTGGTTCAATAAAGGATATTATCTCACCCACCTCATCTCTGTAACAGCCTGCCCTAGTCAATGGAGTTACTCTGGTGCATCCAAGTGGGGACGCCGGTCCAGGGCATTTCATTCCATGGGGCTCCTGAGATAGGTAGGAAGCCATGCAGGGAGCAGAAGGGTCAGTGCTGGGAAGTGCTGGGAGGCTTGGGCCTGCTCTGAGCACCCAAATGGGGACATTTTCCCAATGGTTTTGGAAGTGTCCTGGGGAGTCGGCACATGTGATCAGCCAGGCCGGGGGGTGAGAGGCTGGAGCAGTGAGCCGAGCTCCCAGAGCATCTCAGCGCTCCCCAGTTTCTGCCCTGGTACCGCGCCATAGCCTCTCACTTCAGTTCTGTCACTGGTTTTGTTCTGCGTCACTCCCATCCCGCTGTGGTGTGGGGGATGAGGCCTGGCCTGGCTACCCACTGAGGGACCGTAAATCCCCTGCGCCTCATTCTTCTCCTGGCTGTGAGCTCCGTGGCCATTTCCCTCAGTGCTTGGAGGAGGCTGGCTGAGCAATCTGTGTGTGAAACTGACGAGCACAATTCCCCGCTGCCTTGGTTTGAGATTCCAGCGCCTGCCTGCCCCAAGTTCAGGACGTCGGACTGAATCTCTGTGTTTCGTCTGAGCGAGGGATTTCGCAGACGCTGAACCAAGCCAGCTTTGCCACTCTTCATTTATAATTGCACTTGTTCACCATTTTTTTCCCTTTACTAAATACCGTGTTGACACAGTCTCTCCGCATGGGGCTGGCCAGTCTTTGGGGCAATAGTTGTCCCAATTCTCAAGGGCTGGACAATCTTGTGTAGGGACACTTCCTGCACTGGCCTCTAAGGCACCATCTGTTAGCAGCTTTGCAGGGATTACTTCTTGCTGCTCTGTTGGACACCAATGAATCATGCAGCTCATCCCAACCAAAGATGTTAACTCAGATCCTGCTGGAAAAACCCAGATCATCTGCTGAGGCTGGTAACTGGTCCCAGAAGCGAAGGGTTTCTGGTAAAAGTATTAAGGGGTCTCGCTGCCTCGATTTCCTTCCTTTAACCAGCTTTGCTCACCTGGTTTTCAAAATGGCTCATTAGTTTCAAGACGAAGTAATAATGACGCTAGTTGTTTTCACACATACAGGCCCATCTGAAAAGCCACATTGTTCTGACAAATGGAAATTGATCCCCTCTGAGTTTTCCCCCTTGAGTCTGTTTCTTTCTGCTCCAGGTTCCTCCCCAGTGATTAGTCCTACTGATGTTAACACAACTGGATCACAGCAGTGCTCCTTCAGCCCTCGTCCAGCATCCTGTCTGACAAGGCTGCTTCAGAGGAAGGTGCAGATAATCCCCCTAGCTGCCATGTAGGGCGTGCCCTGCCTCTAGGGAAAGTTCCTTCCTGACCCCTCACAGTGGCTGGCTCATGCCATGAAGCATGAGGGGTTTTAGTGGATGGGTGCCCACAGCTCAGAAACCACCTCCAGAGTTAGTATTAACTGGACCTGGACCTGGAACGGGGCAGGTGATGGTGGGACAGGGTGGGAGCTGTTTGCCTTGCCATTGCCCGGGCAGTACCTGCTCTGGAGAGACCCCTGTGGCTGTCCCTCATCAGCGGGGACAGGCCTTTTGTTGCTTTGGGAGACCACCCACCATCCCAGGATTTCCAACAGACTGGCACTTCCCCTTTCTTACCCCTGTTTGATTTACCCCACCTGACTAGTTGGCCCCCTTCCTTCTGGTCCCTCCCCTTTCTGAGGGTTGACCAATGATGTTCCTGCAGCGGGGCTGTCTGGGCCCCTGCTCTTTTACTGAAGTCAGGTTGACTGGCTCCTTCCACTAGCTTACTCTGCCTATTTAATCGAATCTGGTGCACTCTGCGTAGCTTTCATAGGGTGGAATTCCCCTCCCTGGAGCGGGCCAACAAAAGCCTTGAGCACCCCATAAAACCTATAGGTATAACTAAAAAGAAAAGGAGGACTTGTGGCACCTTAGAGGCTAACAAATTCATTAGAGCATAAGCTTTCGTGAGCTACAGCTCACTTCATCGGATGCATGCAGTGGAAAATACAGTGGGGAGATTTTATGTACACCTATATAGGTATAACTAGGATTTAAAGGGTGCCCAGAGCCTGGGGCTCGGGGGAATTTCTTCTGGGGAGAGGGAAGAAGTGCTGGTTCTTTTAAACCACAGCTGAGCAGCCCAGCCCAGCAGCAGTTCCCAGGATCCTTTTTACACCTTCCGGGATTTTCGGTGTCCTCTGACAGATGTTTCAGTTAGAGGCCAGCGCAGCAGCCCACGCGAGAGTCAGGAATGTATCCAAGGCTGCCAGGATAGATCGGACCCAGGCACTTTTTCGTTAGATGTCTGGGAATAGGAAAATATGAGGATGTGCTGCTGATGCTGGTTGTGGGAATTCTTGCCAGAGAGGAACTGGCTGAGAGTCTTCTCGTTGTGCTAAGTGAATGGCCCGAGTTCTTCTCCAATCTCTTTGTCTGGGGCCAAATCTGGGTTTAAACAAACAACAAGCACAGTGAAAAGTAAACTCTGCTGTTGAGGATTCATTGAGTTTTAATCCTCTCCTGCATAATTAGTCACTTGGATAACAAAATGGGGGGCGGGGGGTTGAAAAACATACGGGTCAAGATTTTACAAAGTGGTTACTGAGTTTGGGTGCCCAACCCCAGGCATCTTAAAGGGGCCTCCCAGTGCTTCCGACCCCATCTTTAGAGCAGATGGAAAGAGCTGCCCAAAGGGAGCCATTTGCAGGGCACAACGACATTCTCATCATAGCAAACCCATGTGACACTGTGTATTTTCTACTGGCACCTTATCTGTTAACTAACTCTTGACATGTACACCAACAGAGAGCACGCTTGTAACACTGATCATCCATGCCCAGAAAAGCAGGCCCCTTTAAGGTTGGGCATCCCCCATCGCTAACCACTTTGCCAAATCTTGATCATGCCTTTTAAGCTTAAAGAGCTGCATCCCATGTCAGATTTTCAAGTCCACAGGCTCAGCGTTCCCCTGGTGTAACTCCACTGAAGTCCCGCCACAGATAATTTCTGTTTTCTACAGCTGTTTGCAGAATTCTGCCCAGGGGTATCAGGAGGCCTGCGAACCTTTCATGCTGGGTGAGCACTGGGTCCTGATTTGCAGCATCAAAACTGCCGTGTTTCAGACTACAACAAAAGGCCTAATTGAGAACAGGCCTGGAAATGTTGGTGCCTTTTCCACTCGCGCTCTGTGCAGTCTGGCCTATAAATAGGGATTTGAAAATCAAGCTGATCGTTTAGTTCTCCAAGAATGACCAAGGTTGGAAGGCCTAGAGAACCCTATGGCAGCAGGGCCATGCAAGTTGGCAGCCCTGATTTGTGGGAGGAAACTTAGCCTGCATCTGGGAACCATATCATGCGGTAATGTAGTTTACTTTTGCAGTACTTTCCCATAGTTATTGTTGATTAAAAAGCAATTGCTTGCACATGTCAATCTTGAAAGGGGTAAACAATGAGGCTCTGAAGCTCTTCTCTGGGTAAAGCAAGGAGCCCAGATTTGCAAGTTTAGGAGAAAGAGCACAGCTCATGTGTTAGAGATCAGCTGCCTTCAGGCCGGTTGGTGTCTGTTGTTTTTATCCCATTAGGAGATTGCAAGGAAGCTGACTGCACCGCGTGTCTGAGAGGAGGATACTGGGGCCAGATGTTGTGCAATATATTGATTGTGATTCCTTGCAGAGCCGCTGCCTTGTTTTGGTAGCTTGTGCCAATTATTTGCTTAAGCACAAAGGACTGGTTTGTGTTTCTGCAGATCTGGACAGTAGAGGTTAAAATGCAATGCCAGGGGCTGCCTCAGAAGTTGTTCTGAAGTTTGTCTCATTTAACTGAAGCCAAATTGGGCTCCAGCAGGGGTCACGAACAGCAGCCAAGATGCAGGGCTGCAGAGCAGATGAGAACTGTTTACTAGCTTAACCTTTCTCCATAGAATATTACTATCTTGGCACACAGCGTACTTCTCTGCTGGGTGATATGCTGGATGGCCCTGGAGATAGGAAGCAGGACCCAGAACCTTTCACCACAAGGTTGCTAGTATCAATTCAGCCAGGACAGCAGAGAGCCAAAGTCTGTGATTTCCCCCTCCTCCCCTGCTAGGAGCAGGTCTCGGTGCTTTCCCTGCAGCACACCTCTTGCCACGTGCGGGCACCCTCCGTTCCCATGCCGGGCAGTGGGAGTAGAGGGTGCTCAGCATCACAAAGGATGAGGCCCAACCTTAAGCGTCTCCCGGTGGGCTCTGTGTCATTCCTGATGCCAGGGTTCTGGTTACGCGCGCTCGATCTCTTTCTCTCTCCAGTGCTCCAAACCCAAGCTGCTCATGGCCTGCTCTGCTGTCCAAGAGATCCGGAGATGCACCCGCCTCGAGATGCCAGACAACATGAACACCTTTGTACTCAAGGTAGGGCCCGCATCTTCCCTGCCCTTATGGAAGGCCTGTGAGGACCGGCACTAGGGTTCTATAGGCAGTGACCCCTGGGATGTGGGGGGAGAGAGCTCTCCTGCCTGTCTCTGAACCCCGGACAGAGTCCTGCAGCAGGGAGCGAATGCTCTGTGAAACTCCAGGGCCGGCCCAACACGTGACCGCTCTCGGTCAGGATTGAGCCCTCTCCCGGCAGGGTTACCGGAGTACTCGGAGCAGCTCTGGGAGTTCAGGTGCGTGAGTTAGGAGCGGCCCTTTGTTACGCTCCACCTGTGTCTCTTTCTCTGCCCCTGTCAGCGATCTGAGTTTAAACAGGCCAGTAGTTACCCGCCGTTGGGGCAGCAGGGGCACTTTACAGGGCTAACACCTGTGCTGTGCCAGCCAGTGCCTGCCGCTTGTCATCCAGCGGTGCCCGCTGACAGAGCCTGGCCGCATCCGCAGCTCTGTTCCCGCTAGCGCTGAGGGGCCCGGCAGAGGCTCCTGAGCCTGGGGTGGGGAGCCCAGAGGCCCTGTCACTAGAGACGGCTCCGGGGCGTGTACAGGACACGCGGCCTCGTCACGTTCCAAATGGGGCCCGGAGGTCCTGTTCAATCAGCCCCAGGGCCTGCAGGCCGAGTGTGCGGGTGGAGCAGATCTGGGCTCCTGTCTGGGTGAGCAGCTCCTTGCACCAGCTCAGCAACTGCCTCAGGGCACATCACAGGCTCTGGGGTTTGCTTCTCCTCTCACAGCACGTGTCTGCTGGAGCTCAGATGCCAAATTTCAGTTCCTCTTCTGCCTGCGAGGGTGTGGGGGGGAGTGGGTGCTGCTGGCTTGGACTAGGTGTTTCCTTCAGGCCGCTGCCCTCCCTCGTAGCTTCCTCTCAGCTCACAGTCATGCTCGTTAGATGCAGAGTACTTCTCTGTGTGGACAATGCACTGGGCTGGGATCTGGCCCCCTGGAGACCAGCAGCAGGACAGTAGATGCTACCCAGGCTGGGGGCTTGCAGGAGCCGATTTGCCGTCTGTCACCCCCTCTTTGATGCCTGCCCTCCTTGCTGCTCTGTAGAGGCTTCAGTGACCAGATTCTTCACAGCAGGGGTTGCCCGTTCCTTCCCCAAGAGGGGACGACTGAGCTGACACCAGCCCCTCCCCAGACTGTCGTCCCCTTCTCTGCCTGCTGCCGATCCCAGAGCTGGGAGAACAGTCTGTCACATGTATCCTCTCCTCTAGGCACATCTGCCGGGCCCGTGAGCTGCACCCATGCCGCTGTGGGCACCTAGTTGCCCCTGTTCTTCTGGTAGAGGTTTCCCATCCTTAGACTGGGGACCAAGTCTCCCAGAGATGTGACAGCCACACGGGGGAGTTAAGATGGGCTTCTGGCCCCTGTCTGTGCTGGGGTTGCCCTATGCAAAGCACACGTCTCCCCCTCTCATCTGCTACGCTCCTGGTGCCACTCTGCTGCCTGACCTCCTTCTCCCCGAGCAGTCCTCTCTCTCCGGGGGCTGGCACATCCTGTCCTCTGCCCACAAAAGCAGTTGGTACAAGTTGCAGAGCCGTCTGGGGGCCACTGCAGTTTGAGAACCGCTGGCTCCAGGGGCCATGGTGCAGGACTTACTCTTCAGTTCCCTGACTGCAGGGACAAGATTCTGACCACAGTCACTTGTGCCGTCCAGACATGGGGGCCCAGTGAGGGGCAGGTGGAATATGAGGCCATAAGTGGCCAAGTTCCTCTAGGAAGTTAAGTGGCCCAGATCTCCCCGCCCAGGGGCCAGAGCCTTCCCCACAAGAGTTTCCTTCCTCCCCTTCCTTTCCGCTGCAGAGGCTGTGAATCATTTCCACTGGAGACGGCTGCCCAGCAAGGGAAGCAGAGAGCCAGAGGGAAGAACAGAGAGGGAACTCCCAGGGGCTGGTGGGAGAGCCTGCGAAGGAAGTGATACTGTAGCTGGTTCTCAGGATCCAAGCGGAAATCCCCGCTCCTGTGAGCTAGGTCGTGGAGACCTAGGCAGGACAGGATAGCTGTGTTTTCATGCCACAAGGAGTCCGTCCAACACTCCCCTTCTCTCCTGTCTAGGTGAATAACTGCACAGACGTTGTATTTGAGGCTGGCGACGAGCAGCAGCTGAGTTCCTGGACAGCCGAAATCAAAGAATGTATGACCCGAGGGTAAGGACCAAGCTAGGGCCAGTTGCTCGGGTGCTTATTTTGGCAGCAGCTGGTTGACCCCTAGTTCATGTGACACTGGGAACAGCTGGCTCTTGACACTTACACTCGATGGGTGCGATTCCCTCCCCGGGGACTGGGCCTCAGCCTGAGACTTCAGCGGGCATCGTCTGTGCACACGTTCCCCACGCAAAGCTGAAGGAATGCCCAGGCCAGATTGTGGAGGAGCTGCCCCTTGTTACCCTCCCCTGGATCCAAACTCCACCCCCAGGGCCTCAGGACACCGACCTTTGGCTCTCGTAGCTTCTTGGTGACTGGGCGGCTTTGAGCCCCTTCGAATGCACGTGGCAGGTCAGCTGAGCTCCTGAAAACGTTGCCCATGTAGGGCCCAGTCCTGTTTGGTGCTCTGGGCCTTTGGCTCCCCTTGGAGTCGGAGGGAAGGGAAGGGGCTCAGGCCCTGGATTGGACCGGGCAGAGCTGTCCCCCTGCCTGAGCCATGCAGGGCCCGGGGAGAAGGGGAGTCCCTGGGCCGGGATTTCCAGCCACCCTGAGCGAGGGCTGCAGGGGAGTCACTGGCGGAGCCTGCAGCCGTGGCTGGCAAAGCCAAGCTGGGAAAGTGAGCCTCTCTAGGCCAGTCTGCCAACAGTTTTGCCAGGCCCCAGGGCTCCATGTGCCCAGATCTTGGCTCCAGGAAGAAGCTGCATCAAGACACAGGTGCTACAAGCCACAGTCCCAGGCCCTTTGCGAGGATGCAGCGTGGCTGGCCTGGCTTCTCCAGCCTCCTGCAGCCAGGGAAGGCAGATGAGACTAGGCCGGTGCCATGCAGCTTGCCGGGAGACTTGCCCATGTTCTTCCCCGGCCACTTGCCCCCTGCCCTCTCTCTGCTGCAAATGTCGGATTTCAAATCCAGCACAACGGGCAGGGGGAACTTGCTCATGGGGCTGGGGTGGGAGCCAGGGCTGCTGGGCAACCGGTTGAAATGCAGCCCACAGTACCACTAGCTGATAGCGAATGAGCGTCTTCCAGGAAAGGAAGGTGACATTGGTTGCCCCTCGGTGTGGGCAATAGGCAGGAGATCCAGGGAGCGAGGTAGCCATGGAACCTGCTCCTACCCACCATGCACTGCAGAGCCCTGAACTCCCACAGAGCTGGGCAGGGTCCTGGAAACCGTCCCTGCCCCCGCACTGGGCCGGTCCTGCAGAGGTCAAGCCACACAGCAGCTGCAGGAGGAGGAGCAGGAAGTCTGTGCAAGAACCATGATGTTTTCATGGCTGTCTGCAACCAGCCCTCTGCCAAGAGGAAAGGCCCAGTGGCAGCTGTGAGCGCATGTGACTGGTAGCCAAGTGAGCAAAGGATCAGTGCCCACAGAGGGCGGGGTCCTCGGGATCCAGCACCCTGGTGCGAAGCCCCCGCCAGTGGCAGAGACTAGGACGTTGGCACACTTGGCAGAGCCACCTGGGTCGGGCACTAATATGGAAATACAGCTGGCCAGTGCCGCCGTAAATGCCTATCATAGAGTTAGTGCCCATGCCTGAGCCCCCAGCTGTCTGGGGGAGCATTTAAAGCACTGCAGGCAGCCCCCCCCCCCCCGCCAGCTGAGGATCCCCTGGTTGGTCTGCATTGCAAACGGAAACACCCCCTGCCCCCGGAGCCTCCTCTGCAACTGCGGCTCGGAGCCTGCCCCCGGGTGGGCGGGGATTCCCCCAAGTGCCAGCCAAGACTTTCTTGGCAGCCAGCCCTCCTAACAAGTGGCCAGAGCCAGATGTTCTGAACACCTGCCAGGAGCCAGGCTGGCTGGATTGTAAGGCTGGGTGGGGACTGGAGTTCCCCACCCGCTGCGTGCTGCTGCTGGGATGGCAGTGAGGGCAGGGCAGAGCAAATGGCTCCCTTCCCTGGGCGGACGGCAGGTCCCTGTGCCCACTGGCACCAGCTTGCACTGCCCGGAGAGCTCTGCAAGTGGGGCCATGGGGCATGCGCTGCAGGTGCTTCCAGGGAGGGAGGTGAAGGGCCAGCTAGCTGGGGCCCCGCAAGCAGGGCTGCATCGGCACAAGCTGCTGCCCGGAGCATCGCACCTCCCAGCTGGGCTGCTCTCCTGTCCCGCCTCGCAGGAGCCCCTGAGCGCCATCTCCTCTCATAGGCTCTTCCTCCCACGGGCACGTGGCTCTGCTCCTGCCAGGGACGAACTCACGCCTCGGGCTGCCTGGACCGACGCCAGCCGTGCTCTGCCAGGGAGGTGGAGCTGACGGTTTCCCAGGCCGTGTTCATCCCTGTGGGTCCCCCCAGGCTGGGCCTTGCTGCTGACTGAGGACAGGGGCGCGGGCTTTGCCCCGTCCTGACCCCCTGCCCACCTGCTGGGTGGGAATTGGGCTCTCCGGGTGATGGCCAGGCTCCCTTGGGCTAGCGGCAAGCCAGCCCAGCCATGCTGGGCCAGACGCATCCCTGGTGTAACTCACATGGGGCTCGGGAACTATACTGGGGAGTAATTCAGCCCAAGCCCTGAGTGAGCTGGAAGGGATCGGCAGGGCCCGGCAGGGAGCCCCGAAGGCTGGGTTGTGCTGCTGTGCTGCTGCGCTCCGTGAGCTTGGTCTCTGGGCCTTGGACTGTGGTTCCCTGGCTCGTGAGGGGGAGCTGTCAGCCTGTGTTCCCAGAGCGCCCGGAAGGGGCCGGCTGGCGTGATTCCCAAATCCCTGCTTGGAAAGCCAGGGGCGAAGGGGGCCCTGGCTCTGAGGGGCACTTGGCTGGCGCAGCAAAGGGGCAGTGCTGCCCCCTGGGAAGGAAGCCCCGGCTGGCCTGCAGGCCCGGCTATCGCCCGGTCCTGCAAGCGAGGCACTTCCTGTTATTGAAATACCCTGCGGCGTGTCAGGGCCAAGCCCTGTTGTGATTTACGGAGTGCTCTGCTCCCCCGGTCCCTGCCCTGCTTCTTGTTCCCATGACTTCAGGCTTGCTTCCTGCGCGCCTCGCTTGGACTCCGGCCCAACTGACGCCCCGCGGATTGCTTCAGCCCTTGGCCCCGGATCCCCACCCCTCGCCCCCGAGGGCCTAGCGCCCGTCAGAACCTCGGTCCTGACTGCACCAGGAGCATCAGCCCCAGCCATGTCAGCGCCCTCGGGCTGGCCTTACAGCCCCTGGCAGCCTGGGGGACCGTGGGGCTCATGGATCTAGGTGCAGCGCCCTGCTGGGTAGAAGTCTGCCCCCGCCCCAGTGTCGTCTGCTGCTGGGGCAGTGGTGGGGGCTGTCTGGGCCAGGGAGAGGGGGGTTGCCATGCAGTCTGCTGCACGTGGGGAGGGTCCCTGATACAGGGGAGTCGGGGAGGGGCTGTAACCACCCCCTGTAGTGGGGTCTGGGCAGGGGCGGCTCGAGTAGTTCTTCGAGGGCCCAGCACCATTGCAGGGGTCCCTGAGGTCTTCTCCCCGCCCCCATGTGTTTTGGGGATACTTGATACACTTCCAGGACAGCATGTGCCCTTTTCCTCCGGTTCCTGTTTGCATCGCAGCTGTGCCAGAGGAGCAGGGCCCCACCGTGCTGGGTGCTCACCTCAGCCCCGTCCCACGAGTTCACAGCTGCACCTGAGGAGGGAGCTGAGTCCCACAGGGAAACCTGCCCCCACCTCAAACACAGGGAGAGGGCGGGGGCTGAACGCAGCATTTGCTGCAAGCCAAAGGTGCCTCCCAGGCTGCTCCAGTGCATTGAGTGGCCCCCGGGGCAGCTCCAGGGCTGACAGCTGTGTCTCGTTAGCCTCAAGGAGCTCAGCACTGTATTTCTCCACTGTTCTGCAGGCTGCCCGTATACTCGGCCCTGGCTGGCCAGGCAGCCCCCTCCCAGTAGGGCACTCCAGTGAGATGAATGACACCGTCCTTTCTCTCCTCCCCTGAGCATCCCCATCTGCTGCCGGAAGGCCCTTCACACAGGTGGTAGACAGATGGGGAAATTGAGGCAGAAAGCAGGGCTGTGACCTGCCCACAGTCAGAGGACATTTCTATCATTTCTGTAGGGCCAGCGTGTGTGTGTGCACGCAATTAAAACCACACATCTCTCTCTCTCTCCATCCTGTGTTACTCGTGAGGCCTGCGACTCTAGCAGGGGGGTTGCAGCTCTGCAGTGTGTTTCCTTTGGGCCGGCTGGCCGATGGCCCAGGCCCTGCAGCCGGTTGGGGATGTTGCTCAGGATGGCTTTGGGAACGCCCGTGCACTAGGACCCCGTTGTGCTGCAGCGCCGTAGCGTTTAGAAACTTGTTTCCACTGGATTTTTTTTTTTTTTTTAATTCATAAAAACCACTTGGAATTTCCCAGTATTTTGTGTCCTCGCGAGCCCTGAATTCTGGGCAGCGGCTGAGCTGTCACGTTCCCTTCCAGGCAGTGTGTCTGCCTGGCACGTTTGCACAAAGGGAGCTGTGTTTCTCCTGTTCACCCTGGTGCTTTGCCGAGCGGAGCAGCCGGTTCTCCACCTGGGTTCGGCGGCGGAAGCCGTGACATCCTTCCTGTGTCTTCCTGGCAGGTCCGGGGGAGCCGATGTAGAGCTGCTCTCAGGCCAGCTCTCTGACACTGTGACGTCCAGCCCTGCCACTGTCAGCGCTGACTCCCTTACCCAAGGTGAGTGCCCTGCATGGGAGAGCCCCAACACAAAGTGAGGGCGCTGAGTGCCGGTGGGGTAAAGGGCCTGTGGGGTAGGGGAGCCCAGCACCAGTTGTGGGTGCTCAGCATTTCTGCAAATCAGGTTCTCAGTGCCTTGCCCGAGGGCCCACGCCGACCCAGTGATCGCACAGGGAACAGAACCCGGAGCGATGGGTCCTGTCCCAGAGCTCCAGCCACCGCTCCCGTCTCGTGCAGACCCACAATGCACTTGAGCTTTACAGTCATTTTAACCTCTTTGGCCATGTCCTCTGTGCTCCAAACAGCCCTTAGTTTACTTGTCTTGCTGCCAGCATGCGAATGCATTTTGTGTAAAGCCCGTGTTTACAAAGGTCTGCCCTTATGCCCCCCTGCAGGTGGTGTGGCACCTCAGAAGACACCCTTCCCCAAACCATACTGATATTGACGACGATTAGGATGATTAATTATTTGTATTATTATAGCACCCAGCCAGAAATCAGTACCCCTGGGTGCTAGGTGCTGCACAAACATAGCATGAGACAGTCCCTGCCCCGAGCCGCTTGCAATCGAGAGAGACAGGCCATGCAAGGAGGGGGAGGGGAAACCGGCACACAGCAGGGAAGCGCCTCACTCGAGGTCACCTGGCAGCTCAGTGGGAATAGAACCGAGATCTGCTGAGTCCCAGGCCAGAGCCAAACACGGAGGCAACCGCAAAAAACACAGCAGGGCGGGAGCCTGTGGAAATGGGCCAGTGTTGGGCTGAATGCTGCTTTTCCACCATGCACGAAACTCCTGAATTCATCCCCAGCCATCAGTGCATGCGGAGGGTGCAGAGAAGCAGGCTCCGACCCCGCTTTGGGCTAAATGTGCTGGATTGGGGGGCTCAGACTGGGTCTCTAATCACAGAGTAACTAGAGGTAGCCTAGGGCCAGTGCTTTAGCTCGCCAGGTGTTCAGGGTCTGCTGCAGGAATGGGTGGTGAAGGTCTCTGGCCTGTTACACAGGAACTCAGGCTCCATGATCAACAGGGTGCCTTCTGGCTGTAAGCCCCACAAATCAATGCTCCTGTGTAACGGATAGCCCCAGCTGGTACTGTGCCAGTGACCGCCTACCGGCTGGGGTATTTAAACATGCCCTAAGCATTGCTGGAAGCCAGGCCCCCTGACCCTCTCCCAGCCGCAGCAGGGCCGAGCTGGGCCTGGAGCCACTCAGTGGGCGCTCGGCCCCAAGCAGCAGCAGGCTCCCGAGGGCTGGTGAAGGTAACTGTTCAGTTGTTGGGCCGAGCTTTCTCCGGGGTGGCTGATCTGTGCTGGGGGCTCTGGTTCCCCCTGCCCAGCCCCTTGGCACCCCAAATGGAGTTCTCGCTAAGTCAAAGGCTCAGCGAGCCCCTCACCGCTTAATCCCCTAGGAGTGACTCCAAGTGCAGCAGTCATAGGGCTGGACGGTCTCATTAGAGTTTGAAAGGCCCCAGTTCGTGCACTGCTACAAACCCCCAACCTCCTCCGCCCCAGCACACCTGGCAACGCCTCGCCAAGGGCTAATGGAGCAGACAGGGAGCGGCTGGACCTTTACCAGCCTGCAGCAGTCCTTGGGCTCCTGCCATGTGTCACTGCTGGAGAGAACGGCTCCAGGGGGCATCACTTACAGGGGTGGCTAGTGCCAATCACCCAGGGAGTGTCTCAGGTGGGTCTGGGGGGAGGGGGCTCTTGCCTGAGAGAGCTGGTGCTGAAGCCCAGCGAGAAGCCCCAGGAAACTAGCCAAGGTCGCTGGTTGGGGAGCGAATGAGGCCTAACCAGCCCGGGGGAGCAAGTGGAGCACTAGCCTAGAGAAGAATGACCCAGCTAGTGAGGCAGGTAGAACTGCTGATCTGGGGCTTGATCCTGCAAAGGACTCAGCACCCTTAAAAGGCCCCTGGATCTGGGAGGGAGCTGAGCACCCTCAGACCCCTGCAGAGCAGGATTCTGAGAGTTTCTCGCTCTGCTCACCTGTCACTGCAAGACACGTGCTCCCAACCCTCTGCCAAGAAACTGCTTATCAGACGCTCACACACAAAGCTGCTTCACAACACCGTGCCAGCGGCGGGCTCCTCTCCGAAGCCGAGAGGGGCCGATTAGCACGCCGCTCTTGCCTTCTTTCCAGTCAAGAGATTAAATATGAACCATGATGGCAGCTGCTTTGGGAGGTGCGGGCAGAGCGGAGGGAGAGCTTGAGATTCTCTCCTGCTCCAACCCTGAAACGTCCGGCTGGTGCCTGTGTTTTCTGGAAAGAGGAACTCGGGTTGCCTGGCTCTCAGGTTGAGTTGACAGGAAACAAGGGTTTCACTGATAGTCTGAACGCTGTGTTTCAGTGTCACGCAGCTCCCACTGTGCTGCGGTTGAAGGCCGGTACCGCAAGGCGAAGGACCTGGAGTAAATCAGGCTCTGGCTAAAAGCAGAAGTGGCCAGGGACTGATTCAAAGCCAAACCATGCTGGGGGAGCCTGTTGCACGGCATGGCAGGATGGTGGGGGGGTGTCGGCGGTTTCTCTCACTAAGGCACGTGACGCACAGTAATGGTGAGAGACAGTAGCTAAGCAAGGATATGGCTCTGGTAGGATGAGGGGGACGAGGCGTCGGGCAGTCCTGGGCCTAGCGCCAGCGAGATCCCCTCATGTTCGCATTGGCACCAGTTGGGCTGTTGCTGCTTGACACCCTCGGGATGGTTTATTGGCACCAAGTCCTGCCCAAGCTGTGCCAGGTGCTTGCCAGAGAGCAGGAGCCCCTGCTCTGCTGAATGGGGATTTCAAGCCGCTGCTCCCACGGGGGGGATGCGGCCCACCAGGGAATGGTCAAGCTGTGCCCACTTGGGCTGTAGCCAAGGGTTCCGCTTTCCCAGAGCCCCCCAGCCCTGCTCAGGGGTTGGCCGGTGGAGTTGTAGCATTTCTCCTGCCAGGCCCGTCCCGACAGCCATGGCGCTAATGCTGTTCTCCCTCCCCAGGCGCTATGCACTGTGGGCAGCCAGAGCCGTCCTGCCAGAAAACAGACCAGTTCCTCTCGTCCTACCCCTGGTTCCACGGCCCCATTTCGCGCGTCAAAGCCGCCCAGCTCGTGCAGCTGCAGGGGCTGGAAGGCCACGGGGTTTTCCTCGTTCGACAGAGCGAAACCCGCAGGGGCGAATACGTCCTCACCTTCAATTTCCAAGGAAGAGCGAAGGTAGGGCTGGGGGTGGGGGGGTTGCCAGCCCTGCTTTCTGCTCAGGGCTTCCTCCCTCTGGTCAACTTGACAGACAGCTGGCCCTCTACACACAGACCACTACCATTCAGAGAGGGGACTGAACCCCCACCCGCGCACCCAGCCCCCTCTCCCTACTGACCAGAGAGTGGCACCAGTGGTGAGTTGGACAGCCTTGTTTCTAAAGCGCCCTGGGTGGAGGCTCCTGCTCAGCTTCGGGCCGTCCTACCCTGGGTGTGTCCGACTCCCCCCGCCACCCCGGGGCCCATGCTCTGAGGGCTGAGAGCCAAGAGCCAGAGGCAGGGCAATTTTCAGGCCTCCCCTGAGCTCCAGTGCTCGGCCTTTGGAGGCCCCTATGCCTTGCGGACGGCTCTGAGCACAAGACTGGGTCCTTGGCCCATCTCCAGCCATAGACCCGCCTGCAGAAACCTTCCCCGCGAGGTGCCGGCTCAGAGCCCCTGGGGAAAGATGGCTGCTCCGGCTCCGCCATCCCCTCGGGGCAGGAGACAATCCCACCCCTCGCGGCCCAGGATGTAACCTGACGAAGGCCAGGCTGGTCCGACGACACCCCCCCCCACCCCCCCGGCAAGCCAAGCCAGCAGCTTCGTAACCCGCCCATCTCCCCTGCAGCACCTGCGGCTCTCACTGACCGACCGGGGCCAGTGCCACGTACAGCACCTGCGCTTCCCCTCCATCCTGGACATGCTGCACCACTTCCAACGGTGCCCCATCCCCCTGGAGTGCGGCGCGGCCTGCGACGTCAAGCTCTCCAGCTACGTGGTGGTCATCGCGTCGTCCCACGGTACGAGGGGGAGGAGGGGCTACCTGTGCACGGCCCAGAGGGGAAAGTTTGTCTCTTTCCCCACCTCCATCGCCCCGCTGGAGAGCGGCTGCCCCCTCTCCCCCCCATATATCCCTGGCTCTGGGCACAGCTGCAGTTGGCAGTCGCTCCTGGGGCAGCTGCCAGCCCCTCCTCTCTGCGAGCCCCCAAGGCTGGCTGGCCTCACCCATGTTCCAACCAGCCGACGCTGCTCAACGCATCCGTTCTGTTAACTGAGCCAAAGCATTAGCCCTTGGCTTAATTAATTAGAGTAGCTGCTGGAGCCCACCGTAATACCACGGGGTTAGAGTTCAGCATCGCCCATAATTATCAGGCTGACACTCCCCCCCCCTGTATCTTTGTGCCTCAGCAGACCCTGTCCTGGCTGGAAAGAGCTGGCAGCCAGGTGCTCAGTGAATGGCTTGCAGCTATCAAAGGTGGCTCCTGGCCCCCTTTGGCCAGGGATGTGGGCTTGGTGTACGGTTTGCTCAACTAAACTAGCCCCCAGGCCTATCCTGCCCCTCCCCTCCCTTTCCCCCAGTGTTCGGTAGGTGGGACGCTGCCCGGCAACACCCAGCTGCTTGCTATTGTCATACAGGCGCAGTGCTGGCCACACTTCCCCGGGAGGGAAGAGATTCGGGCAGGAGCTGATTGACACTTGGGATAAAAAATAACTGGTGTAATGGTAGAGCCCTTTACAGGAGCCTCTCTGTCAACCCTTGCGTTACACGCACTGCTGGGAATCAGCAGTGCTTTTCCTCTTTGTGCTAAGAGCCTGGGACATCGAGCGGCTACAGGGGCAAAAATCTGTGCAAACCACCCACTTTCTCCCCCACCTCTCTGGTGTGACACATGGCCAGGCCAAGCCAGCGGGCTTCCAGAACCAGCCTCCTGCTGCACTGGGGGTTACCCCGCCGGGCTCTGCAATCACAGAAGCCGTTCAGCACAGGCTTGAACGTAGGCACATCAGGTTCCAGGTGCAGCGTCTAGCTCTGCTGGCTGCTTCTGCCCTTGCTTAACTTACAGCAACGTGTGAAAGATGCTTTTACCTCTCCCTCCCCGCCCCTTTGTGAAGGGCGAGGTGGCGATTAGAGGAGGGGTAGAGCTTTTCATTTCTCCACGTTAATTGCATTGCCGTGGTCACAATGGACTAATTGCATGCTGGGTTATTTAAGCTTTTGGTGCTCAGTTTATGGAGGAAACGCAGTTACTAGCCTGCCTCTGCGTGCAGCGGGCCCCAGGGCTCTGCTGCCCCAGCTGAAGGCAGCCAGACAAGCTTGCACAGCCCTCTTCGCCCCCAGGGCAGGTACGGCAACACAATAGCTGTGCTTTGAAGAGTTCCCTTGAGCACAGTTCAAAGCGAGTGCCTCTAGCTAACTTCCTCCCCGTGGTTCAGTGGAGGGGGGTCGGCTGCGGTCCTGACCAAGTCTGGAGTGCTGTCTTGTGACCTCCCAGGTGGTTAGAGAGGCATGTTCCTGCTCCAAGGGTTTTCGATTGGATAAAACAGAACTCCAAAGAGCCCCCAGCACTGTCATTCAGTTGCCTTATGATCAAGAGCTGGAGAGTCAGATGAGCAGGGGCAGGGCGGGAGCAGTACTGAGCGCTGCCATGAAAGGAGTAGGAACTCAGTTTAGGGCTGTGTCCTGAACTCACATCCTCTTTCAGTACATTTTAAAACCACCAAAGGCATGGTCAGGTAACATGGTGTGGCTGAAATCTTAAGCGCCTAGCTTCCCCCTAGAGTCACAGGAATGGGCTGGAAGGGATCTCAAGAGATTGAGTCCAACCCCCTGTGCTGAGGCAGGACTACCTAACCCTAGACCCTCCCTGACAGGTGTTTATCCAGCCTGTTCTTAAAAGCCTCCAGTGATGGGAATCCCACAGTCACCCCGGTAACCTGCTCCAGCACTTAACTAGCTTTATAGGTAGAAAGCTTTTCCTCGTGCCTAAGCCGGTTACCTCTTGTTCTGTCTTCCGTAGACGTGGAGAACAATTGACCCCTTTGCTCTTTACCATGATGTGGGGTGAAGCCAACTTCAATGAGCAAAGACCTTGCATACACTGGAGCCTGTGGCTCTGGTAAAGGGAATACTAATTTGAGGGAAAGAGTTGATTGAACTGAACTGAAGCAGGAGGTAGTTCAGGCCCCAAGAGGTAGGGGGAGGAGTATGGGCTAGGCTCCAAGAGGCTTGCTGAAAATAGTAGGTTGGAGGCTGTTAGAGGGCACTCTCCCCTGAAGAGTTCAGTCCCTCCTTTGGGTGGCTATGGGCTCTACCATCAAACATGAGCAAAGCTGCCACTGCCTAAATAACGTTCAGACTCGCATGAGCTGCTGAGAGGAGCATTCCTAGAGCTGGTGCTGGTAGCTAGTCACTGAAGGGGTAGCAAGAGGAGGGAGACTCATAGAAGATGGGGGTTGGAAGAGACTTCAGGACCAACTAAATCATCCCAGCCAGGACTTTGTCAACCTGGGCCTTAAAAGCCTTTAAGGATGGAGATTCCACCACCGCCCTAGGGAACCCATTCTGGTGCTTCACCACCCTCTGAGTGAAATAGCTTTTCCTAATATCCAACCTAGACCTCTCCTACTACAACTTGAAACCACTGCTCCTTGGTCGGTCACCTGCCACCACTGAGAACAGCTGAGCTCCATCCTCTTTAGAACCCCCTTTCAGGTAATTGAAAGCTGCTATCAGATCCCCCCTCGCTCTTCTCTTCTGCAGCCTAAAGTCCAGTTCCCTCCTGCATGCAGCAGTAGCGAATAGCAACAGCCTGTTAGGCCCGTGATCGCACTGGCTCTTTAGGGCAGCAAGGGCACAGGGCTGGGAACCTGCGTTCAGAGCAGGAAGTGCCTCTGCCGATACAGAAAGTTTGAAAGTCAGGCTGTGTTTTTCCTCTTTCTAAAAGAGAAGCTGCCCTAACCACTGACCACAGGGGCGGCTCACGGAGATCTGATTCATAACAGGCTGTTTAGGAGTTCTGACCAAACCCTTTGCGTGGGACGGGTCACCCGAGGTGGAGCGCAGCAACACAAGGCCACCCCCAGGCTTCAACGCCTCTGCCCCGGAGCAGGAGCTGCCTAGGCCCCTTTTGGTGGGACGGATGCTTTAGGGGGAAGTACCCGCCCCTCTGTAAATTGCACCAAGGAGATGTTTGCCCACCCCGTCGAAGGAGAGCTTTCCCCACTCTGCCTCAGCAGCCAGCTCTTCAGTATACAGCAGCACTGTGTACCTTGGCCAACAGGGGGAATAAGAGCTGCCCTGAGCAGGGAGAGGTTGGACAGGAGAACAATAGTGACCACAGACCACCTCCAGTTCTGTGTGCCTTAGTGCTGCCCCTCCCCCACTATTAGATAACTGGCCAGGGTCCATGCAGGATCCAGGGCTAGGTGCTTAGGAAGGCCACAGGAGAAGGCTTAAGGCACAAAGCCAGGGAAACTTACCCAAGATGGCTTAGGTTTCTCTTTGGATCCTGCACGTACCCTGGCCAGTTATCTAATGCTTGGATTTCTCCCCTCTCCCTGTAGGTTTGGGCTCAAATAACACCATCTTGCTCCCGTTCTCCGTCCCGAATTGGAGCTCCGAACTCGGCCATACCCGCATCAGTCCCTCCAGCTGCCCCCGGCTACACATGACAGATGACATTCACCACAGTTCTCAGCCAGAACAGATCTTCCATCTGGTGCCCTCTCCAGAAGAACTGGCCAACAGCCTCCGAGACAGCAACGTGGCCATCACGCATGCCAGCCGGCAGCAGGACTCTGACTACGAGCTGGATTCCCCTGGCAGGGGCCACATTCGGGCTATTGACAATCAATACACGCCCCTCTGACAAGATGGGGTGGGGGGGTGCAAACCACGCACTTTGGCATGGAGCCTTGTTAGAGAACTTCTGCTATAGATTTTGGGAACCCTGTGAGAAGAATGTAATTAGGGATTTATTTTTTTGGTAAGGGAAGGGGTAAGAGATATAAATTGTTCACTCCAGTATGGGTGTTATCCCTCTCTTAGGCCTGTTAAAGGGCCTGTTTTACATATTAAAGCTTTCTTATTACTGTTTACACGTCATTCCTGTTAACCTGTCAGGCTCTCTGCCCTTTAGGCTACTATCTACACTTTTAGTCATTGGTACAGAGACATGTCACAGTTGCTTTTGGTCTTCACTGCCCTTTTTGATGTGACTCAGCCCAGAAAAGAAACTGGAATGGTCCATTACAGCCACAGAATTGGACAAAACTGGATTTGACGTTCTTTGCGACAAGTTACTGATCTGGGCTGTGCATAAACAAAGAAAAATCACTTCCTGATGGCCAAGGAAGGTGCTGCAGTAGCACAAGTCATAGTTCCATATTTCTAACCGAGCAGTAGCCTTAGGGCTAAGGTAAGAGTGGGTTCATTACTTTGGGATATGGAGCGTACAGGCTTTAACTTCAATCATGTTTGCATTTTTAAACCAACAATTGAGCTGTTGAAGTCACTGCTACAGCTATGGGCAAAAGAAATGCTCACATCTATTAGCCACGATTAAAAAGTGAACACTAACTTCCTCCTATTAATAGAGGCTTAACGTAACTGATCAGAGGACGAAAGAGAAGACTGACATCTTGGCACGGCCTTGAAGTAAAACTTCCTTTCTGCTGTTGAAATCTTTTAGGCACAAGTCTGAAGTTAAGCAAAAGTTTTTTTTCCAAATATGTTACCTCAGCTTGGTTCTTCAAAGTAGGAGGGGTGTTGACAAACAGCCACCATTGCTTGCATTTAAAAAAAAACAAACACAAAATATGATCCAGTATTTAAAGAGGGTTGTTAAGTCAAGCTATGCAAATACGACTTCCCTGTGTGTCATGTTTTCTAGCCAGAGTGGGTATAACCTTTTCTCCCCAGTATCCCCCTCACCTGTAGGTCTCAGGAAAATCACTGACTGTTGGGTTTTTGACAGTGCTTTTGCTATTTTTGGAGAAGCAACATGAGCCCCTTCATTGTAACAGTTACCCAAAAAGGGGGTGCACTAATGAAGCTTCTTATCCTCATACCTTATTGTGACTAGGGTTAGACTTTGGCATTTCCTCAGTTAGAATTACAGTTACAGGAGGAGATGTGACATATTTGCCTTTGTGCTTCTTTACCAAGAGACAGGGGTCTGTGCAGAGCTGTATGTTATGAGTTAAGATTTATAGATTCACAATAAATAGGTAATTTCACTAACCCCTATAGAACAGAGAAAAGTTTCTCAGCTGTTTCCTCCTTCCCCCTCCCCCCGGAGGGTCTGACACTTAATGTGGATGAGATGCCTTCGTGTTCATGCGGGATCAGGCAGGCCACCTCCTTCCTATAACATCCCTGTGGAGGAAAAGGACAGCAATTGCTTAGATGGAAAAGGAAGGTAACGTTTAACCAGCAGCAGAAGTGAGGCGAGCCAGCATTATGTAACCACTCAGTGCTCCACAGAATACAGCTGGAGATCCAATGCTCTTACAAGGTACGAGCTAATAAATCAACCCAACACCAGTATGTTGCTACTGAGGAAGTAAAGAATCCTATGAGATGAGAACCATTTAAGTGATCAGTCCCATTCCTCTCTACACTCAAAAAAAAAGTTCACCAGCAAGACATCACCATGCAGCATACACAAGAAAAGCACAGCTGTATTAATGCCCCACCTCGTTGTATATAAAAAGAATCCACTGCATGGTGCTTGCTACTGTACTTAAATGGGAAAAAACACACTTCCACCCCAAATTCCAAATTGGCATCAGAAAGCTTCAGCTACCTGCATCTGTCCACCAAAGCTCACACAAAGTATTAGGGACAGCATGCAAAGCAACTGAGTATCATCAAATATGAAGGGGACTAATTTGCTATTTAAAAAAAATGTCTCAGCAATCAGCTTCTACCATTCAAACCAAGTCACATTTATATACTTTCATGTCACTCCCCATAATTTATGGTACACGGAGGCAATTTCTTCTTCTCACATTAGTTAAAGATTAAGGTGAGGTTTTTCAAAAGCTCCTAAATACCTTGAGCTCAGGTCCATCTGCAAGTCAACACAAATGTATGCCCTTAATTCACTTAGATGCATTTGAAAATTCAACCTTTAACCCACGAACTTTGTGTGTTTGTAATTAAGAATTTTTGTACCTTCTAGTTTATTAGTAAAATCATCACTAGACCCAACCAGTTTCCCAAGGTAAAGCATCTCAGCTACGCCAGAGTTGGGCCACACCAGAAGGGGCTGTATGGTAGAAGAGACTTTCTGGAATGTGGCTTAAGGGAGCAATGTTTAAAAAAAGAAAGACATTCAACTTGAAAAGCCACTGTAGTCTTACAATTACTGTAACTTGGAAGTTGGCAAAAGATGCTGTTCCCTCTAGATCATTTGTGTGCATTTGACCACACTTTGTCAAGTCAGTCTCTCCTTTTGTGGAAAGGCCCTTAAAAAAATTCAGGCCATAGAATTATATACATAAATTGGGCCAGGATTTCTGCAATCAGTCAATTTTTAAAAAATGGAATGCAAGTGACCAGTGCCCTTATCCTCCCCCAACACATTTCTAATGCACTGCAAGGGACAGGAAAACCAAGACAGTCTCAACTTCATCCCAGCTTTGCAAAGAAGCTGCTGAAGCTCCTATCAATCTCTGTTCCCCCACTTTTGTCGGAGGACTTCTCCTAGGCAAGGTATTTCCCAAGCCCAAAGTGATAGGCTATGGCAGGGGCGGGCAAACTTTTTGGCCTGAGGGCCACATCAGGTTTCCAAAATTGTACGGAGGGCCAGTTAGGGGAGGCTGTGTCTCCCCAAGCAGCCAGGCATGGCCCAGCCCCCGCCTCCTATCCGACCCTTCCCCCCTGTTTCTGAGTTGGGGTTTTTGGCCTAAGTCTTACTGTTTAAGTGACAGCAACCAAACGCGCACACACATTTGGTGTTAGTTCACTTGCCAGGGCCTTCTTTATGGACTAAATGGAACTTGCTTTTCTTATTTAATACAATATACACCAAGTTTGTGCTCATTCATTCTATGCTCCTGTGTGAACAAATCCAAGCAAATGTGACTATAAGTTCCTTCTCCTAGTACCTAGTTGGAAAGTTGCTCTGATTATACACTAAAGTTGCAGTTGTTTCCTTCTGGACTTTCACTGTCAAGTTAGCCAAAGCTAGAAAGAAACCTGATAATCCAGAATGAAAGGCTGGCAGAGCACTCCAGTTCACTGCTGAAGGGGACTGTGTATGGAATCTGAGGAACTGTACACTGAAAGCTAACAAACAGTCTGTTCACCACCTCCAGCCTGCCTGGAGTCAACAGCCTTCCCCTGCAGTGTTCTACCCATCTCATTCCTTTCCTTCTCCAGCCAAAAGGTCTACTTTTCCTAACTGGGCAAATATTCTTCCAGTCCTTCCCTCTGTTACTCCAACAGAGCCTCTCATCAACCCCTCACTTTGGTGTTAGGGTCCTAAAACCAATTATACAGTAATTGCAGGGTCAGTTCTTTAATCTGTTTTCCCAAGTCATGGGAGGCTGACCTTCTCAGAAATCCATCCTTGCTAGAAAGTAGTTGGCTTGTGATACATTTCCAAGTCGGACTTAGTTTCCCTTCCTCTTCTGTACTGCCAGGACTATTTCATAACTAACTCAGTACACACAATGCTCGTCTAGTAGAAACATGGGGACGCAACATTAAGCCCTTGAAATATAAGTGACTTCAAAGTAATTTTGCGGACTTCTCCAAAACCTTTTTGCCAAGTAACTAGCGAAGGTGTGTGGCATGTTTCAACGTAGACTTTTATTGTAAGATTTTTCTATATTTAAAAGCACATTAATAACGGCTTGTAGGCCAAGGAATTATCCACATTTATGAAGTGTTTTCAAGACAGTTGCTTTCAATGAAGAGGCAAAGGGGGACACTGAACTTTTGCATTTCTCACCTTAGCAGCCGAGCACAGTTGCCTTGCCTCCGGGACTACCAGATACTGGGGAACACTGCCAGCAAGCTGCCTGCTTTGGCCTAAGTTCTCAGCCCCTGCTCGAGTCTCAGGGTCCAGAGAAGGGGCACACAAAATTGAATCTGATTGGTTCCAAAGTCTTACCTCTGAGGCTGACTGATTGAAAACAGCTTGTCTAAGGGCTGGCACCGTAAAGGAGACCAGCATTTCTGTTCTTCCCCAGCAGCAACAGGTGGCTGGGCTAGTGAAACGTTTCTATTTTCAGAGCAGCAATTTAGAGCTGTGTTCCACAGTGAAGACATAACAGTATGTAGTGCCTCAACTTGCTACGCCTATTGCCGGACAGAAGCCTGGTGTAGCAGGTAACTGTAATACAGCCTACCGGCTGTGCCAAAACAGAAACCAAGCCCTCCCTCCCGCCCCCAACTCTACACCCCCTTATTCTTATGAAAGGCCTTACTTGCTATTTGCTGACAAACAGGCACTGCCTACAGGCAACTCTTGCATGTCCTCTTGGTAGACAGGCTGTGTAGGAGACGTGTTCATCAATACGAAGTACCATTGTGGTCTAGCCCTCTGAAAGGGCTAACCCAACAGGGAAAGGCTAACCCAGCATTTAAGAACAGGGTACCTAGAACACCGACAGCAACCTCATTGATCCTTTTGCTTCAAGGCTGCCTTCCACAGCGAAGCTTTGAGGAAAAGGTCCAGGTCCAGCAGAGGAAGCATCAAGCCAACATCATCAAAGAATTAAGGCAGCCTAGTCTGTGCCACAGTGACACAATATTAATTAACTGTTGATATTCCTTGGACCACAGAAAACTGTCAGTTTAGAGCCAATGTGGTTTTACTGTACCATGCATATAAAGCCTTTCAGTCTTGACTGACAAGTTTGAGTACAATATTCCATATTTCAACGTAAGAGCTTGTTGTATGAGAACAGGATGTTATCTTAGCCAGCATATGCCCACAGTGTAGGAGTTGAGTGCATTCTATTGTTCACTGCCTTTTTATCCCATAGGCAAATTAAGGCCAACAAGGGTTTTGTTGGAATAAAGTGCATTTATTTCAAAGCTGTACTTTTCAACGGCACAGAATTCTTGTATAGTAGATTTTCTA